GCAATTGACTCAGGTAGGATCACTTTTTAGACCACTTTCCATATAACACTTTATTTTGAAAAAATATTCAAAAATCTTTAAAATTTCTTAACAAAAATCGCTGCGTAATTACTGTGAAAAACTTGGATTTGCCTAGGTCATTTTTTGGACTCACTCTCAAATAATCGTTCTTAGGAAAATGAATTTTTATATGGTAAGACGATGTAATTTTCAACATTTGATGGTGAAATTTGGTTGAAAATATTACTTTCGCATAGAAACCAAACTTACCATATTTGGACTACGTAGGTTTATTTTTTTGATCCCATTGCATATAAGTGTTCTTATGATGCATAAACCCTTATAAGCGAATATAGTCTAATTGGTAATGGTTTACGATGAAAATTTTGCAATAGTAATAATTGGATATAAACATTAGGTGGATCATATTTGAACCCCATGGGTCTATTTCTTAGACGCCATAAGCCCTTTAGAAAAATTTTTACTTTTTAACATTTCATGATGAAAATTGATCAGTGGTGGAAATTTGGCAAAAAAAAATTAAACGTAGAGAATTTGAATGGATAATCTTTCTACAGGGGGCGGAAACCCCTGAACAATAATAAAATTTTTGGGATGTAAACCAAGTTTGCTAAATTTGGATTACGTGATGTTATGTTTTGGGCATCTTCCAGAATGCAGGCTGTGGAATTAATAAGCGTGCTGGGCGAAGCAATGTAGGATATCTAATGGTCGACCTGGGCCGAGTGTGATGTTGAGCATACGTAGTATACATGAATAGAGAAGTATGAAAGAGACAGAGAGAAAGAAAGAGTGGGAGGAAAAAAAAAAACAAAAGTAAGAAAACGGTGGGAGGAAAAAAAAAAAAACAGAAGTAGGAAAGCGTGGCTAAGTAAATGAGCGCGACAAATACTTAACTAAATATCATTAAATATTTATGTTACTATATTTTGCTAAATTCACGTATAAAAAGATTTTTTTAATTCACAACTAGAAACATATATATATGCATATATATAATAACATATATATATTTGTTTATGTGGGTGTATATATATATATATATATATATATATATATATGTTTTTCATTTTTTACTTTACTTGCTTGTTTTCACTTATTTTTATTTTTTATTTTTTTTCTTTCAAATTAATTAATATTATATGTCATTAATTCGTATGTGTTGCCTGTTAGATTGTAAATGTATGTAAATGTATGTAAATGTATGTATGTGGTGGTCAGTTTTTTTAGTATTCTTTATTCTTAATTGTAATTATAAAAATTATTTTTAATTTGTTAAATGCTTTAGCATGTATATGTGAGTGTTCCTGTGATATGCAGTAAGTTTGTGTTGTTATTGTTGTGTTGTTGTTGTCTTTGTTGTTTATTTATTTATTTGTTTGTTTGAATATATTTTAATTACAATATTATTTTCAGGTGTTTATTCGGGCTGTTCTTGTTTTTTTTTGCTTGAAATTTTTATTTTGATTAAAAAGTTATACAAATTATTATTGTTATTATGATTTAATAAAAATTAAATATAATTAAGCCAAATGACTTCCCATTGTGCGGGTTAAAAGAAAATTAAAGACTTCTCAGGTATAATTTAATAAAAGGTTAATAATGGTTCTACTCCTCTGTTTTGCTCTGTATTGCTGTCTATTTACTCTTTTCCTGTTCAATACGGCAGCTATTGTTTGGAAAAATTATATGAACACCAAGTGCATTTCCTGTTTTTAATATCGTTAATAAAATTATTTGAGAAAAAGAAATATGTTGTCTTAAAATAATGTAAAAACTAACTGTAGCTTTGGGAATCGAATGCATAATAATTGTTCACTTGACAGGTCGAAATGATTGTTGGCTTTGGGCGCTCATATCTTAGAACTGTCAACGTTTGAATAGAAGGCGGCGCCGTTTCGCTTATATCTGCCTAATTTTCTATATGTCTGCTTGTCTGCCTGCCTATCTGCCTGCCTACCTGCTTGCCTGCCTGTTGAAATCATTATTGTAATATAAGAGCTTTACTTACAAGAAAAATGTTTTTATAAAATTATTTTCTCATGTTATGTTCGAGAATCATTTAAATGCGGATGAATAAATCGACAATTAAGAAAAATTTGATAATTTTTCTGTTTTTCTTGCTAATGGCATCCCAATATACAATAATACAATATCGTCATTAGTTTATTATCCAAGATATGATTATAGAAATAAGTAAATACAATTCATATATCATTTATACAATTAACTATAAAGTGCTGTCAAATTTTGTAAAGATATGATTTGATACGATATACGATATGTCTAATATAAATAAATATCTTACATAAGTAAGTAAGTGATAGGTATCAAAAAGTTCAGTTTTTAAATAAAATACAATCTTTTCCTGATTTATTATTAAAATTTTCTTCTATTTGCTTTACAATATTTTCTTTAGCTAAGGATTAATAAGTTGTTCTTTATGTTTTGTTTACTTTATAGGAAATTAGTCGCCTGGGCTTTAGATTATTTAGAGTGAAAATTTGAAAATGTATTACGCTTACGTAAACAGAGGTCATTGATGGCCTGATTTGCAGCACTTGATTAGCTCGAATTGATCGCCAAGTATCAAATATGAACTTGAACACAAAAGAAGCTTTTACCGTTACAAATATTATTAGTTTTATCAGTACAGTAATCAAGTAAGGGCAACCAAATACCATAACTCGAGTCTATTGCAATAATAAACTCCATCAAGTTAATTGCAAAAACAAAATTATCTTTATTAAGTAGAATGAAATTTTTAATCTATTTAAAATTAATTTTAAATAGGGGGAAAAGCGCTCGTGGCAAGAGCATAAGGAATTTTGAAAGTCATTTTGTAATTTCTCTACTATGCTTCAATTGCTTTCAGTTTTATCTTAATTGCTTCTTGAGAAACGATTTAAACAAATCCTCCCTTTACATTCCGTTTAGTTTTAAACTTATTAAATAATTTATTAGGTGCAAAAGGTATATTGGCTTATGACAAGGCGTTAGATAAACAAATAATTTCCATTGTCTACTTTTATTCATTCATTCAGAGATTCATTAATCTGTTTTGCATTAAAAGGGAATTAATTCTTTTGATTTGATTTTTTTTTTGAGCAAAAAAATTAAAAGAATATGTCTTCTTAAGTCCTAAAAGCAAATTAAAATTCCTGCGCTTATTATTAATTATATTAAAAATTTTGAAAATTCATTTAAGCCTTTTAATGTGAGGTTTCTCAGCAACTTGTAAATATATATGAAATGAAGAATTGAACACAAAATAGCTTAATAGCGTTTCAAATTCATTAAATTTTCAAATCAAAAGTTTTTGCAAGTTTTTTTTAGAACATTTCTTAGAGGTGGTATCCTAACTTTTTTTAAATGTCGTCTATGTTAGATTACAGAAGTACAGAAGTCTTTTGAACGTAAGAGTTGAACAAAATCTTTTTTGTCCTCATTTTCAAAACAACTTTAAACTGAATGCACAGATTAGTGTACAGTAATTAATAAATAATTTTCATGTCACAAAAACTTTTATGCAGAATCTCTTTTATTGTAATTGTTTTACAAAAATGTATTCACTTTTAATTTCAAGACAATTGCGGCAGAAATCACGTTACAACAAAATCGCGCAGTTAACGAACTCATTGTAAATTGAAAAATAAAAAAAGTAATTTTGCTTATTTGTAGATGTAGAGAGAAACCTATCATAATGTATAAGAGTAATAATTTCATAAAACTAGATGGAAATTTTAAAACTAATATGGCCTACTTTGTAAGTCTGAATATACTCTTCTCTATATCTCTTGATGGCTTACATATAGCAATAGGTTGTTATGGAATACGAGTTGAGAAAATTACGAATGAATAGCAATAAAGCGTGTACGCGGAATCTACGCGAATTCCGTTAGCCTTAATATATCGAGAGTAGGTGTCGACAGCTGGATTCATATAATTGTTTTTTTTTTTTTTTTTCTCTTTATTTAATCTTTTGATCTTACTCTTTTCGTTTAAGTGCAAGTTTCAGATAGTCTATGCTGCATTGTAATTGAACATCCATTTATTATCCCAGCCCCCATTATAGAAAATTAAAAGTTAGAGATGGTTTCATTCTTGACTTTCGTTCTGGACAATTCCAAATTTTTGATTATCTTACATAATGATAATGAATTTCAAGCTAATTTCCTTTCAGGGGGGAAAAAATTAAGTCTTTGTCTCTCGCAAATGTGTTTTTTGTAAAATCTGCGAAGAATACTTGCAAGTGACCAAAAATCATACATAAATGCAGGCGGGTGGATGCATGTAGAAGAGTGAAAACGCTATTATTGAGAAAAATTATTATGAAGATTTTATATTGAAAGAGTGTTTTGAAGATTGTTTTAATTTTAATGGACTGACTTACATCTCAGTTAGCGATTTAATTTTTTTGTTCTTTTCTTTTCTTTTTTTTTTTTTTTGTTATTTATATTCTGGTCTTAAAGGGATTTTCTCTTTTTCGTTCGCTCTTTTCTCCTTACAAATTAGTGACTATTACTTAGTGTGTTGATGAATCTCGAAAGTTACTCCTTTCAGTATTGTTGTTTATGTGTGGAGTTTTCTTCTTTTTTTTTTTTTTCTCTTAATTTTAAACACTACATATACATACATATATACAAAAACTTATCTTATAATTTTAGTATTAATTATTGTTTTATGACTTTTAAGTTTTAATTATTATTATTTTTATATTAGTTTTTTTATTTTTAGAAAAGAATAAAAAACAATAAATAAAATTTATTACTATTTCACATGCAAATCTATTCTATCTTTACATTTTATCGCTTAAAATGATATTTAAATTGTTTTTTTTTTTTTTTTTGCTTTTTGCTTAGTTTTTCTTTTATTGTTATTAGGAAAACACATTTTGTTTTTCTTGCAATCATTAGAAATGAGAAAAATATTTTTTTGAGTATTATTTTTCCTTGCATGAACTTCGGTATTTCATTTTCTTTTTTTTTTTTTTTTTTCCTTTTGGCAATGCCTGGCTTCCTTTGTCGATTGAATGTATTTTATGGCAAATTTTTGTTATATTCTTTTAGTGATTTCATAGCTATGATGTTATTCTTGTTCTTGATGAAGAGGATGTTCGGAATAATGTTTATGCTATGGTTGCTTCTATATAGTTTGGAAGCCCATTTCTAATTTATACACAGAACTGATTTAGTTTCAAGTTAACAACCACTTAAGATGTTCTTCATATTCAGCAGCTGTATGGAATTCAATATCACTGAAAGGAATTAATATATAGAAAAAAAAAAAAAATTATGAATAATTATTTAAAGTAAAAAAAAAATAGAAGGTTTAAATATATCCTAACTGTGTTAAACTGAATACGAACTCTAACGTGTGCCTTTTCAAATAATGAACGGAAAATTCTCAAACATTTTCAATTAATTATTAAACTTTCCTTTTTCGAAAATGCCTCAACATTCAGGCATGGAAGTATGTTCGGGCGGTCCTTCTCACAACGTCCTTATATTCACGATTAAGGAATGCGAACTGTTCAAGACGCTGCTTATCAAAATGCCAGTCAAACAAATCACCAAACTTTCCCGGCTGTCATTCTATACCGCATAGTAGGTTTACTACGCACACTTTTTTATAAATATTTTTAACTACATTTCTAAAAGTTACAAATTGAATTTTAAACTTGAACTTGAATATGTATGATTATAACCTTTGGTAGTGCCTATAAACGAAATTAAAACCTGTTATAATCCAGCTTGGTCGACCATTAAGCACACAATTCCTCTTGGCTTAATACGATTCTTCAATTATCTTTCCCATCAAATATGAAAGGTTATGCCTCTCTATCGGCGAAAAACTTATTCTTCAACGAGGCTGTTATATAGTGAGGGATGTACAAAATGCAACCTACCTAGTTCAGACTAGACTAGACTAGACCAGCAAATTTATATGTGAAATTGTTATTTTATATAAATGATTCCTTTTTGAAGAGAACTCTTATAAGAGAAAGTGTCTCATCCAAATTTTCTACATTCATTGGGTAAACCAAAATAATGCTCTTAAATCATTTGTTTAGAAAAAAATTTTTTTAAAATTTTTTTTTTACTACGTCTTTTTAAGGGAAGTGGAAATATTCGATTCGATGCAAACTGTGTGAGTGTAGGTGAGGCAATTTCTTCCAAATATTTTCTGATTTGCTTCTGGCGAGTTAAGTGGAATAATATATGAAGAGACCGACAGACCGACCGACAGACAGACGGACGGACAGACGTGTCGCAGAGTATAACAAAAAATTTGCTTGCCAAAGTGAGTTAGTGTATCATTAACATTTTGAATTGATCTTCAGAAATCATTTATTGCTTCAAAATACTTGATGTTCAAAAATTGTCACGCGATTACTTCTTTTAATTTTATACAAATTATACGCTTGTTTTTCTTATACTGAATACTGGGCTTACTGTTCTAAGTTAAGAGACGAGTCGCTTTAAGTCGATTATAATGATTTTGTGTATATCGTTTCTGTTTACGGTACTATTTGTAAACTATATTTCTTCACTAAACACTATTCAATATTGTTCTATTATTTCCTATCCTATTCATCGCTGCTTAAGGGTTCTCTGCAGATTTTTTCCCTAATTAATATTAATTAGTAAACATTTATTACTAACAAAGGATTTTTTTTTTTTTTTTCTTATTCTTTCATCGTTTTTCTTACGCAAAATCATAACAAAAGCCAATATTTTACACGGCTTGATTTCAATGAATGGTACGATGCATATTAACACCATAATTAGAAGAGTTTATTAAAAACCTGTTTAATTATACCGACCACTGAAGGAAGGGGGTATACTGATTTTGTTGTTTTTTACAATGTATGTCCCACCCAAAAGGAAGCTTTAGAGACCCGATAAAGCATATATATTCTTGATTAGCGTGAAATTCTGAATTGATAAAGCCCGTCTGTGTGTCTGTATGGTGTTTTTTGTTGGCACCGTCGTGGTTTTTTCCTAGATTTGAAACAAAATGCTTGTCAGGGAACGCAAAGGCCAGTATGCTTGCTAGATATAAGTGTGCTTCACATCTTTGAGAGCATTAAATAGTAAAACGGCGAATTTGACACTCCTTAGGAAGGGATACTCGTTAAGGCTTCGTAAATTAAAGGCTTATCTTATAGGATAGCTTTAATAGGTAGTAAAATTTGATAGGCGGAGGCAAGTCAACAAGCAAGTAAACAAAAAGAAGTTCCACTGAAGATTTCGCAATTTTCCCCCATTCAATTCACTCCTTCATCTTAATCGTATTATTGAGTCGTTCTCAGCAAACTTTTGTTTAGGCAAATATATCGATGCAGAGAAGTTATAAAATGAAGGGAGTAATGAGGCTCTAGGTGTGTCAGTGGCGCGATTATGCATCATCCTCGAGATTAATTTGCTAGCCATTCATTTTTTTGGAGCTATATCTGGTTATGAGGCAATTTGAGTGAATTAAGTGTTTCTTGCATACGGCTTCCTTGGAATGGCGCAATCCAGCTGATCGTAAATATCAAACATACCTTTGTTTTAACATATAAGTGAGAAAAGTCCTGTAAATAACAAATTGATTTAAAAACAGTCTTCTTCTTTCTTGCGATCCAAAAAGCAATTACCCTTAAAGCTTTTAATTTTGCACATTTTCATTCACAGCTAGGTAGTCTACGAAAAATTGTTAGATTATTCACAAAGTGTTTTCGTTCGACTTTTTCCCAACAGAGAATATCACTGTATTTTTTTACAGGCAGGTTCACATTTAAGCCGCATTCTCAGTAAATATCCTAAGAACTGACATAACGAAGCTTGTTTGAGAACAAGTTATTTTGATTTCGGGCTATATTTTTGGTGTTTACCGCCCTATCAAATACGGTCAAACTCAAAAGCAGCATTTACGGCAGGTCTTAAATTTTATACGATCGAAAATGTAAAAATGTTGTTTAAGCCAGAGAAAAATTATTAAATGTGAGTGGATTTATAGGAAGCCAGTAATCAAAATTGATCCGATTAATTTTGTTCTGGCAGGTTTTATATTGAAGATCCATCATCCATCACGTTCTAGAACACCACTTAAAGCATTAATTGATGCAAACTGCCGCATTACAATTCAAAATATCGCTGGGTGAATACATTTCTTGAATACGATCGTTCAAAATTACGCTAAAAGAAATTGTCATTCATTTCGGGAAAGAGAAAGAACGATATAACTTTTCGGATAATCTTATAAAAGTTCGCTGACTATCGTATAGTGGAAAATTTAGATTCCATTTTAAGTAAAAATTTATGTAATTTAAAGATTAAATCTATTCTGGGATTGTGCCAAACTATTAGCCTGAGAGTGACACAAAATAGGAAGCGAATAATTGCCCGAGTTTGTCCACGAAATGGACGGAGTCAAAAAAACGTTATTTTTTAACTCGTTTTGTATTGTGTATGAAAATTGCTGACTTTTAACGTAGCGGTCTCGCAACGTGCAAACACGACAATTGTCAGCTAAACTAAGACTAATTTAACTCTAATTTATACGTATTCCACAGAGTAGCGCGTTAATGGTATTTTGAAGCAAATTCGTGCTTAACTGAATTATTTTGTTGTATTTAATTACTTTAACAGTTACTGTGAAAGGCATTGATGACTTTACTGTTGGGAATTCGAATAATGAAGTTATGGCCCACGCTCATTATTGAAAATAAGCCGTTGAGTTCTGTTTGGTATCGCTTTCCCTAGGATCGGCCCATCATGTGCATTTTGATTGAAATATTCTTATTTGTATCTACTTTCAGGACTCTCGTTCGGTTGTGATGGTATTAATTTTCCTTATTTATGAACTAAATGATTTATGCGATGTTAAAGTTCGCTTGTATTCAGTTGCTTAAGTATGTACATGCGTACGTATGAATTATTATTATGGTTATCATATTTTCTTCCATTCTCTTTATGTTATTTTTTGCGCCGACGGAATAATGCATTAGCAGCAAAAACAAATAATAAAAAACGGAATAAATGTTCATAAAATCGATAAGTCGCGTTGTTTGATGAAACTCTTAAAATTAATAAGTTATGCGTATTGTGTTTGATTAAAACTTTAGAAATCCTACAGCGTTGAGCGTTGAGCGTTGAACGTTATGTGAAGCTTAAAAAAAAATGTGCCGGTCGATCTCTCCATCTATTAACATGTATATATATATATATATATATATATATGTATATATATATAAGCAAATTGAATATTTAATGCATTTGCCAGTGAAGAGGACGAAAGACAAGCGTGAGTACACAAGATGTGCATTTCAGCAGAAAATTTCTATTATTACCATCAAATCAATCATGTGTAATAAATTGGATGAAAAAAAGAAAAGAAACGAAAAGGAGAACGCACCAGCTGCAGTCTTGTAATTAGCTTCGGGGTGAAAATTGAGCATTTGTATACAAGTGTGTAGATCTATCCTTAAAAACGAATAATAAATATAATATGAATTAGCTTTTGCAGCAAAAAGAAAATTTAAAAAGAGAAGATAAACTTAAAGGAAAACAAGAATCGTCCCCTTACGAAATTTTTTACGTCTTATTGATTATTCGTTTCATAATGAAGCATAAAGAGAATGAGGCGTCAGCGGGGCAACTTGGATGGATGACCTATTAAAATACATGGCGTTTCATATCGACCCCTCTCGGAAATTTCTAAGATTTTTAGCGCATAAAAATACGCGTCAAAGTACCGTAAACTATATAAGCGCCAGGAGCAGAATACGAATGGTCTGACCAAGAGTACAGAGAAGTAACAAGGCGGCTTTATTATGTTCGTGGATTTCGTTAGCAACATAACATAACCTTGCCATTCTCTACACCACTTCTGTGCTATATGGTATATTAGGTATGTACGGACGTCTGTAACACTCAAAAGCATCTATAAAAATCTCATCTCTTATTTTACCGATCAGTTCAGAATCATTTTTTCAATTTTTTCCAACCTAAGTTTGTCTGTTTGTTCGTCTAATATTTTCCCATGTAATCCTATATTTAACGTACAGCTTCCAATTATTGTTGTATTTTAATAAAATTTAATACACTGATGTGTTTTGCCTCACGCATGAAACTTGACGAAAATCGATTGGATTGCATCACTTTATCGACCCCTTCCCCCTCATAAGACTTTGTTTTGAAAAGCTATTATCTGTTGGTAGCAGTGTTTCGAGGTTCTGAAGCGATGTAAAAAATTGATATCGAATCGCAA